AGAGAGAGAGAGAGAGAGAGAGAGAGAGAAGGAAAGGGAACAGGAAGAGCCACTGAGTAAGAGGAGAAGATTAGATTAAACTGGAGCTTGTTTTTGGACCTAACATTTTTAACCAATTCTGGGTTTTTTGCATACACACTCAAACACGTATCTACGAAGTTGTAACAAGACCCAGGACTACTGCATCATACTCTAATTTATTTACATTGACAAAAGTTGTAACCAGATCCGCTCTCCTGCCTGCATCACTTTGATCAACTTACAGGCATGTAGGACAAGCATACTTCAGCCTATCAAATCATGGAATGTCTCATTGAGATCGCAAAGTGGGGTATAAGAGTTAGGTAGGATCTCAGCTGACCACCTTTCTCAGTTTAATATTTTTCGTGAATAATGGTTTCTGGCTATACCGATGTCCGTCACATGACGAACGAAAGCTCAGTAATGAGTCATCGGGGCCGTATGACGGTAAGCCGAGGTTTTTTTCGCACAATTCATCAGACAAAAGGCCAAGGCAACCCTCCTGTGGTATTCAGTGGGGCCAACCTACGAATTCCTTCGACCTGCATTCTCAAACGAAATGAAAGGTACGCCAGCATAAATCTATCAAGGTATTCTTTCAAACCCAGCTTCTCTTCATATCATTATTACAGCCATATTCATGCTAACGAGTCGAATCTCTTCATCAAGTACTTTCATTCGCAATTGAAGTAGGTTCAACAAAACAAAGTCTTCCAATGAATATGTCATTAAATCCATGGCGGTAAGAGAGGGACTTTATTTGCCTCCCTCCCCCAGTAGTAAAGGGACTCTTGCCGTACCAAGTTCCATTGAACATCTGATCATGGTACCTCTTCCGTGCGGTGATACTACGCAGCATACCGTCTCGGCAGTCCATATACCGCCGTTCTAACCCATCCTCATATCACTTGCATGCGTGCAAATGTCATATAAATTATTACCGCCTAACTTGGTACAGCTTTCTGACATCATAATACATTCTCATATCGTATATTTGTTCTTCTGTTTAGTCATCTGGTCTCAGCTCAGGACCCCTGTGCCACACGCCGCCAAATCAGATTTTCTCAGACCTAGCCCAAGCCAAATGGTCAACATGTCCTGTTGGTAGGCCTCGGGCTTCGGCCAAAATTGGGCCAGGCGGTTGGAAGACTCCACGTCACAGCATCGAGGTGTCAATGCGGCAAAAATGGGATCCGGTCGGCCGAGTGTTAATTACATGAAAAAAAGAAGCTATGGCGGAGTTCGATATGGTGGCAACAACGAACTTAGGTGTTGGTGATTGTTGTGGTCTTACAATTGACGAAAGAGCATAATAGTACAGCGAGCAAGGCAGAAGAAAAGGTGAGGAAAAGAGAGAATGAAGTGGAAGAGATGGGCAGATGAAAATGATTAGGGAGAGCCAAAGAAAGGCAGGCGTGAACGGAGAGGCAGAAGCAGAGGCAGTGTACGACAGCAATGGACAAGAGGGTTTGGAAACCAGAGCTAAAATAAAGGTAGCCTGTCTAACGGAAGGGGCATTTACAAGCCTAGCATGTAATGTAACCATCCTACGCAAGAAGGGATGCATGCATTGGAGGCAAAAGGAATAAAAGTACATGGTCGGTCAGACGGAGAAAGTCCACCCTCAAAGAGAAGACCATCCAAACGTACGAATGGCTATCAGGTTCAATGGGAAAAGTGCGCCGGTCATATTGTGCAATCGCATAAGAGATTGTACTGGACTTCTAAATATACCTCGCGGGCAAAAGAGGACATCAAAAATCGGCTGGCCTTACGAGTGGGTACAACTCTGAAATCGTCTCGCCTCAGATAAAGAGGTAATGCGGCTTGCACCGAAAACGACCGGATTAAATGCACCCAGCATGAGTAGTTGGCACACTGAGTGTGCTTCAAAGGAGACCAGGATAACAAGCGAACTGTGGTGGAATAGGTAAATAAAGAAAAATAAGACGGGTCGCAGTAAGTCCCAAGGTACAAAGTTTCCTGCAATTCATACCGTTTTCCAGTGGCCAAAACG